ACTTCTGCTGAGTTGTAACTAACACTATATCAAACTAATAAACACTGCCATACCAAGGCCTGCAAACAAACAGTGTGAAAGGTCAGGGCGGTCAGACTTTGTATTTCGGCCTTTTAAGTCAGACCCAATTGCTCATGGCCAAATATTCGATTTGAAAGCCATCATGGATGTGACAAACACACGTCACAGTGATACATGTGCCCATCAGAAACTTTAATTTTAGAGATACACCCCCATTCCTGTTAACATTCCAGAGCTTACAGAAAACACAACGCACACAGCTCTGAATACAAAATACAATTTTTTTCTTGTCCTTTTACAACTCTTCCGTACCGCTGTTACCTGTTCATCAGGTCCAGTGTGGTAACCGACTGAAAAAAAAAAATTGTATTTTGTTTCACTGTGTGCTTGTGGTTTCTGTAAGCTCTGAATGTTAACAAATGGGTGTATCTTAAAATAAATTTCTATTGGCAACATGTATTTGTACGTGTGTTGTCTCATCCAGTGATGCTTTTAAATCACATATTTGCCATGACAATTGTGGTCTATGTAAAAGGGCCAAAATACAAAGTCTGACCCCTGATTCACACTGTTTTGTTCAGCCTGTAGGCATGTTTTATTAGTTTGATTTTTATTCAAAATTAATATATACAGTAAGTTACAATAAATGTTCACAGATTTATAAACTCTCCATTAAAACCAAACTATTGTACAATATACAGTCTTAAACAATGCAGCAGTGGAGTCTCAGGCCAGTGCTCACATGGTATTTGAGTCCTGGTCATAAAAAGTACCACCCTTCAGTGTAGCCATTTTTTGCATAAAAGATGTTTTTCTTGGTGCCAAGCCCACCCATATAATCTGCTGTCAGTACCTCCCTTGTGTTTCTGTAAGGGGGGTAAAGACTCAGAGGTTGAGGGGTGTTAAGGGGGGCTTTTGGACCACAAAAGACTTCTTTGTCCCCATGAACAGAGAGGTAAAACGAGCCTGCATCAGTCACCCTCACAGGAGTGAACATGGCATTGTGTAGGTCTTGCACCTAACCCCCCCACACACACACACGCACACACACACGCACACGCACACTCGTCTTCCCAGAGAGGATGGCATTGTGTACACCTGCATGGTATTACCGTAGGTGTGTGTATAGGTCGTGTGTAGGTGTGTGTGTGTATTCACAAGGGGACATGGTGTGGCAGGTTGTGATTAGGGAAAACAGACAAACAGGGTTTTACTGTTCAGGATTAAATATACAGTATATCCTCCCAACATATCAATTGTAGAAAATTTGCTTCAATGTGTAGCTTAATGGGTCAGTTCTCCCAAATTACAAA